TTTACAGTTGAGTACCAATTAATTACAGACACGATCTGATAATATATCTTATGATCAAGTTTCGAAGGATCCGCAACTCTGAATCAATAGATGGAGAGGTCATTGTTTGGAGGAAGACATTAACTGAGAATGGCTACCTCCTACACTTTACAGACACACACACACAAAGTTGAAAATTAACAAACAACAACTCATTTATGTGCCAAAGAAGATGCTATAACTGGATGTGGCGTTCAAGGGCGACCTTCCAGCCAAAATCCTAAAGAGAAGAACATTCTCTGAGGCTACGTTACGATTGGTATTCGCATCCCGCCCATTGTTCTTCAACAAGTTTAAAGATAATTGTCGCATTTGACCACTTCCATGTGTATCTACCAATTTACTTGCTCATGCGGAGAGAGATATTTAGGTCGTTCGATGCGTAATTTATTCAAGAGAGTCAAAGAACATTATCTCCTCCCCCTGGCTACGAAAACCTAACAGTGGATGAATAAGAAGTGCTAATAAAATTGAACATAGATTCAGCACTAGTCACTCAATATGTCAGGAGAATTCACTCAAAGTCATCTACTAAGTCAAAAGAAGCCTCCTGAAAATGGTGAGCTTCCGTATACTTTGCATTGTGGAGGACTTAACGATCCGAATAGAAAACCCTGATTCATGTACACAGAAAGAACTTCTCCACCCCCCTTGTACCTTGGTGTTAGTTCCAAGTTCTACTACTTTGTTTTTATGACTTCTTAGTAACATCTTTTCCTTAAGTAATCCCTTATTTACTCTTTTCACCTATTACATAATTTATTTTGGACACTTGTACCCATGCTCCTTCCAATAACGTCCTGTTTTTCTGGGTGCCTTTCATATTACGCAACCCTTGTCAATACTTACCAATCTTCACTGCCCTAGTTACAGTCCTGATTATTCAACACATTTTTGAAACACTTTGATGACATAAACAATAACCTTAACTAAGTTTTGTGCGTCGGTGGCACAGCGGTTAGGACGCTCACCGACCAAGCATATGGTCCAGGGTTCGATCCCCGGCCGATGCCCTCCTTCACCTAGCTCATTCAGTAATAGAACTGGCAAAGAGGGAAGGTTGGGCATGAGGCTAACAACCCCATCCTGTAAAAAAAATAAACACTGCTACAGACACTTCAAGCCTGTGGCTTGAAGCCCTATGTTCCACTGGGGAACGCGAAGGAATAAAAAAACTGATTTTATTTTTGTTTGACAATCCTAATGCATACACACACAATAATTATATATGAATGCGATTGTCCAGCCAAGTGAATAAATTCGCCAGCGAAAAGAGACTCTTTGCTGAGCTTCTTGTTCTTGTATTCACGTCTGGATGGGTACTTTCCGTGAACTGTCAGTTTTATTGCACTTCATGATTTATGCATAATAATAAGCCTACAGTAATTCAAAATAAAATAAGGCAAGATTTCCTTCTGTGGACTTCATGTCCTAGTTATTATAGAAAGTTACAAAGGTTGATTAATGAACGCCGAATATTCTGTTTAGGTAAATTCATCATCAAGTTCTACTTTTTATATGACAGTGATAATTCAAGAAATTTAAGTGTTGGTTTGTAGGGATTTGATTGGTCACAGGATTTTATCATGAGCTGATATTGGTTAGAGACACATTGGAAAACCTGGGAGTACTGGACAGTACAATCAAATCCCTACAAATCAACACTTGAATATTGATGAGATGCTCACTAACGACTTGCCCTATTCAGGTAAGTGGTTACCTGGGGTGCTAGTGAGAAGTCGTGATCAGTAAGGTGCAGCAGGTCGGGTGTGAGGACAACTACTCACCGAAGACATTGGCTAGTGGTCGCGCTATGTCGTGAATTGGCAGAAGTTAGAATTTATGAGCCATCGGGTCCCGGTGGCTTAATGGTTTACGAGCTAGCTCACCTTGTAACTGGGAGGTCCTGGGTTCGAACCCCTTGGTGTGAGCGCGTACTCCTGAAGAGTCCCAAACTAGGACCAAACAGCTGTCCAGTACTCCCAGGTTTTCCAATGGTTCTCTAACTGATGTCAGCTCATGATGAAATTCAAGAAATGACTGATAATTAACACCGGAGCTCTGTGTGTACAAAAGAAACAGGTCCAACCAGCTATTATTGGTACTCTGGCATGTTGTCTAACCTCTTAATTCATAAATCCAATGTTATCTTCCTGGAATTTTCTGATATTCAGTCGGTATAGTTTGATGTTAATGCATATTATCGCTTCCTCTCTCTCTCTTTCTTACTGATGCTTTTGAAATAATGCGAATACTGGTTGCCTGTCACCTTGTCAACAGAGCCACTTGACTCTAAACTATTAGTTTGTGGGGATTTAATTAGTTTCAGGCTAAATCGTGGGATGATAACAACTAAAGAGCCTTTTTAGAGAACCAGGAAATACTGGATAGCTGTTTTGTTCCACTTCAGGACCCTTCACATCTTTACGCACCCATAACTCTACTGGAGATCGGATCCAAGACATACAGACTACGAGGTAAGCCTATCGACCATTCACCCACTGGAATGGAATTCAATGGTTGGTCCAGTTTATGCAACTGTGGACTAGAGCCAGCCAGTATCCTTGGTGAGTATTTGTTTTCACATCCGATTTAGGGGACCAATTGACCAGTGTAACCGTACAACTATAATCATAAACAAAGTGAGAATCGAACTCGATACTGTTCATTGCCCTACACCAATGTGTACAGCTTCCTTTAACTTATTTATAACATTTCATTACTTCATCGATGGGAAGTAATCAACTGCCGTATCTGATATTTTATAACCACTCCGTCCTCCTTTATGGCCTGCTGTGAGACCTGGCCACTGAGAGTGGAAGACATGAAAAAACTAGCTGTCTTCGATCATAGGTGCCTGTGTTCTATCTCCCGTGTGAAAGTGGTATAATAAGGTGAGCAATATTGAGATTAGGCGTCGAGTTCTAGGTAAGCAGGGGGAATTCAATCGACGAGGTTGTGAAGTTATATAGACTGAGATGGTTAAGACATGTGTTATGTATGCCTAGCGATCGTCTTCCTCGATGGGCAATGTTAGCTGACATAGGGTCAGGCTGAAAAAAAGCTAGCGGAGGTCAAACCAAAACATGGCACCAGCCAATGAAATATACAACAGTTGGTCTAAGTCACGTAGGAAGGTGTAGACTTCCTGACTGGTTGGAGTCCTCGGGACGGTAAAAAGCAATGGTTGGAAACAATTGGTGATATGGCTCAAAATCGTTCTCAATCACAGAGGAGATGCATCCACTCCTTGTGACTTCTGATTTCCAATGAAACTGTTTTGTTCTTCGTTAATACTCTTTCTTTGTCTCAAACTTCTGCTAACTGTCTCTATTATGCATTTCTTGTCCTTTCTTCTCTTGCTTTGTGTGCTACATGGAGTGTGGCGACTTGAACTGCCGCACATCAGTGCAAAGTTCTATGTAGAAAACAGACAGACATTTTATTAAGCTAAAATTTTCTTTAGAGTGGACCATAGGTAATAACTAGTGTAATGTGTCTAGTCCTATCTTTGGTGAAGACTGAATTATATTAATCAAGCTTGCAGTGTGATCACCATGCTACGTGACTCGCCATCACAATACACAGTGAATTGTTGTTATTAGATTGTTGGGGGGAATCGGCGAGCCACCTAGCATGGTGGCCACATTGCACACGTAACTGATAGAATTCAATCTGCATCAAAGATAGGACAAGACACATTATGCTAGTTATTATTATTATTTATTATTGCTCCATTGGGTTCCTAGTGGAACATAGGGCTTCAACTACACGTCTCCATTTGCTTCTGTCTTCTGCTGTACTTTTCGCCTGCATCCATGTTAGTCCATATTCTTTCAACTTCTCTTCACACGATCTCCTCCATGTCACCCTTGCACCGACGTCCCACACGTCGCTTCCCTTTCGGGTTCCACTCGAGGGCTTGACGCGCGATGTCGCCAAGCGGCCTCTTCAGTGAGTGTCCGATCCATCTCCACTTTCTCCTGCATATTTGTTGGGCGATTGGTTCTTGCTTTGTTTGTTCCCATAATTCCTTGTTGGTGGTTCTTTCCGGTCATCTGATCTTCAGTATAGAGCGAAGACAGTTGTTATTAAAGGTCTGCAACAGGCTGTTGGAAATATTCTTTGTGACCCGCCTGCCAAGTTTCTCTCTGATCCGTATAGAAGGACTGACTTTACGTTTGTATTGAAAATCCGAATTTTGTTGGTGGTGCTGAGTGACGAAGATTTTCAGATTGAGTATCTTGAAAATCCCCATTTAGTCATATGAAAAAGAGAAGACGTTTAGCGAAGAGACTCTTTTCGGCGAATTCATTCACATAGCTGTACAATCGCATTTATATATAATTATTTGAGTGTGTGTGTGTACATGAGGTTTGTCAAAATTAGATAATTAATCAGGTAATAAAAGAATGATCTAATATAGAAACAAGGTTAATTGATTTCAGGTTGATGAATGTGTTTCTCGCCTTCCCGATTCTCGATTTGACATCCTCGTCCGCTCCTCCTGTAGTTGAGACAATGCTCCCTAGATAAGTGAATGAAGTAACCTCTTTCAAATCCCTCCCATTGATGGTGATTGACGCTGGATGTTGTTGCTGTTGTTGGTTGGTTATTTTCATAACCTCCGTCTTGTCTATGTTTACCTGGAGTCCTGTTACGGACTAGTATCCAATCAAAAATATCCAAAACAGTCCTACAGGAGGTCAGTAATCGCCAGCCCGAATAGCTCAGTGGTAACATCTCTGACTAAAGTACTAATTGGGTGACACGGGTTCAAATCTTAGCAGGGAAATGATTTCTCCCTAGGTGACAGGTAGGCCTTGTTAACTGGTCTATGCCAACTAACACAAAATCTAAGTCAGACAAGGCTTCTTGCATACTGCCTTCAACCATTTAGCACGAAGATAAAATTTCCATAACAAATAAATGGATAACTAAATAAATAAATCTAGACTTACAAAGAGCTGATAATGTGCTAATAAATGTCATCAATATGCTTAAATTAATATCACCACCGAGTAAAAGACACCAAGCATTACTGACTCCACCGCCTGGAGAACAACCGATAGTCAGTAGACCAAAACCAAATTCTGGTTTAATAGGGATAATTTTTGCAATAGTAAAGGCAATCTGAAAGAAATGCAAAGAAAATATAAGGTAACAGATTAATTTATCTTTTGTACAGCGTTTAGATATATTGTAAAAAAATTTTCAGCCGAGTTTATTGCATGATATTTTCTCTTCATCTATGATCTTAAAATAAAATAACAGGTAACGGTGGACCAAGTTAAACACTTCCGCCTGATATGAAGCGTATACCAAGAAATTATGACGTCTCTCTGTTGTCTTCTTCGGTTAGTGCATGTAATATAGTTGAATGGCAATTAAAAAATTTTTCAGGAATCCATTCTGTGCACTAAAAACACAACCCATGAACAGCACCGTCTCTTGCACTGCAATAAACCCTGGCCCACGATAACTAGAAACTTGCGAATTAATAAGTTGTAAGGACATTTAATACTCTCCAGAGTTGATGATATTAGATGGTTGGAGGCAATCAGCAGTAAGCCTTGGACCTAGGTTTCGTGCTAGTTGGCACTCACCAGTCAGCAAGGCGTATCTGCAATCTTTGAGGAACTCATGTCCCTTATGAGATTCGAACCCACGTCACCCAGTGCTGAAGTCAGAGACGTTACCACTGAGCTATTCGAGCTCGCGATGGACCTCCTGTAGTAGGACTGTAGTGGGTACTTTGATTGGACTAGACGCATAACACTAGTTACTAGTGTCCAATGAAAGTGCTCCCCAGAGTAAAGAACGTAATTAAAAATCATATTTTATCAGAGTTAAATAGACCAAACAGGAGGAAATATCAGTGAAATATCAATGGGATTTTTCGGTGGGCCAAAAATTTAAGCAAGTTGCCAATATCTACGAATGGATAACAGTGGTAAATGAGAAATATTTAGGAATTTGGCAAATCATCTGGATTCTCAGTCAATGCACACTCATTAACCTCACCTAGTTTACTACAGTGTAGAAGCCAGTTAAAAACAGAGAAACGGTTGGGTGTGAGTTTAGTAACCTTAGCCAGCAGTAACAATATCACTGCCACTTAAACATCAAAGTTTGAGGCCCTGTGTTCTCCGAATACACAGACACACATACATATATCTAAACACAAAGCTTCCCCTTTTAACTTGAAAGTTGAAGTAGGAAGTTATGTGGTGAGAGCAGGCTGCTAGCCAATTGGTAGACATCAATCTACGTCAATGTCTAGGTCACTAATATTGGCCGTGAGAAAATATGAACAAGGCTGATTCAACAACCAATCACAACAGACTTAAACGTGGGCGAATATGATTCGCAGATGGATGGCTTCACTTCCCGAGAAAACCCGAAACAACCAGTCAGAAGACTGCGTTTGTCTGCTTAACTTCCGAGAAACAACCAATCAGAAGATTGCGTTTGTCTACTTGAATAAGCTATAATAATGTACATGAAATATATATATATATATATATATGTGCTGATTTCCGTAATAAAACGATCTGTTGCCCTTGTCTTCTGTTGTTACAGTTATACTTGAAACGAGTAGGTATATATGTGACTTATTGACTCACACTGTCTACCTCAGACTCGACTCCTCTGTCCGATCAATTTTCGTCTGTGAAAGTGGGTAATATCATCAGCTACCAAACTATAATAACAGGCCTAAAGCTTGGTGTGTAGAGAATCTATTATAGATAACTGAGTTATAACTAGATGATCACATTCACTGGTGATGTAATCTATGTGGTTCAAACATAACTTGGCAAAATACCTGCACTGGTATTGGGATGAGAAAATTATGATCGCTTCGGAATATATATAAACTTTACGAATTTGTCACTGATTCCTCTCAAAAAATTATCCAACTAACTACACGATTACAGTTTCATTGAATAGATTTCAGTTGGTACATAGAGCTAAAGTGCATCGGTGGCGCAGCGGTTAGGACTCTCGCCGACCATGCACACGGTCCGGAGTTCGATCCCGGGCCACCGACGCACTCCTTTACCTCGCTAAGCCAGAAATAATGCTGGTAAAGAGGAAACATTGGGCATGAGGCTACCAACTCCCATCGTGTAAAAATTAAACACTGCTACAGAAACTTCAAGCCCCTAGCTTGAGGCCCTATGTTCCACTGGGAACGTGAAGGGAAAAAAAATAATATAAAATAACCATAGAGCTAATGTTAAATGACATAGAAATAAATTATAAGACATCATGAGATTTAAAACATTTTACTTAATTTATTCTGTCTATTGAGCAAAATCCAAGCAGGAATTTTTAAGACTATTGGAGAATATTTACTGAAAGCGTTTTACTGTTTTTTAAGAAAATATTTAGATAGTGAGAAAATTATAATTATCATCTAGTAGGTGTAACAGAGGATATAATTCCAATTTAATAATAAGTTACGTTAAGCTATGAAAAATATTATATTCCAACGTTTATTGTAGTTATTATAATTATCATTATTATCCCACAACAGAAATTTCTCCTATGCAAATTATAACAAGAGTAAAACAAAAAATACCAATTTTAAACAGTTACTCGTAAGTAGTAATTTTATACTGTGAGTGTGAAATTGCGTGAATACCGACTATTATTATTCCCTTGTGTTATGAATGGAACGTATGGCTTCAACAACACATCTCCATTCCACTGGGTTATCTTCAATTTTCCTTCTTCGACTTTATAAGCTCACGGCTGTCAATAAGCTTAAGTCTCCCCCCTTCTCTTCTAAAACGATCTCCTTCATATTACCCTCAAATGAAAGCCAAACTCTCTATTTTCCATTCGAGCTCCACTCGATACCCTGTCACATGACTTCGCTCAACAGTCCCCTGAATGTGAATCCGATTCACCTCCATTTCCCTTTGCATATTTATCGATCTGTATCTTCTGGGTTGGCTCACTGTTTGCCACCGTTCCTTGTTGATACTGCTTTCTGCTTTGACATCTGATATTCATTCAGTAGAGAGTGAAGATAGCTGTCGGGAAAAGTCTTCAATAGCCTGTTCGAACTACTTCTCATGACATGTGAACCAATAGTCTGAATCATGTAGAAACACTGACTGACATAATATTCATGTTGGAAATCTGAGTCTAGTTAGTTGTTTATCGTGAGTGCAGTAGATGTTCACACTGAGTTCATCAGAGTATTGAAAATCTGTCTGTCTTTGACATCGTCATCCGTCCGCTTGCCTGTATTTGGAAGGATAGTACGTAGCCAGGTGAGTGGAATAGGTGACTTTCTTCAAATTTTTTTCGGTTGATAGTGACTAATGCTCGTTTTTACTATTATTATTATTGACTAGGTTTCTTCATCACTCGTGTCCTGTCTATGTTCACTTGAGGTTCTGTTTTCGCTGCCTTCCTCTTCGATGAACTTGTTGGTTTTCACCTGTAGATTTTCAGGTTTATACAAAATGAAATTTAAATCCTTCCTCAAAGTCCAAATTTTCTAGAGTTTTTTGTCAGTTCATCATATACTTGCCCTTTTGCTCTTCATGCTATGCTGAGTGATCCAGTCCACAATAATCTGGAATGTCATCGGTGGTGGTAGTCAGACTTTTCCTACTCTAATGAAAATTTACTTCGCTTGAAATATAATTGTAGTAAAGGAGTGCGACTCTGCCATAGAATAATTTCACTTGGTAAAAGCAAACTAAATAGTAATACGGTATTATTTACTGATGACGTTTTGAGCACAATTTATTTATTACTCAAATGAATCTCACGACTTTCAAAACTTAGTTTACATAATTCCACTATTTCTTAATCTTTGATTAATTTCTTAGTAATATATTCTGTATCTTTGGTACAAGCGCTGGATCATTCTAGCGAAGAAAGACAGATTCACTGACTAATATCTCCACCTTCATATGTTACTTTTTAGAAGTGTAGCTCTGTCCCATCCTACTGTCTATGAGCGCATCCACTGTGAATGCTCTAAGGCATTATTCTTCCTTGGGTCAATCATTCAACATTTATTCAAATTCCCATGTTCTGATAACCTAATTCACCCCAGTCTACTCGTCTTACCTACTCATCAGTTGGTTTCAAAGTCATTGTATGGTATTTCGTAGATTAATTACTCTACAGATTTTATAGTGAGTGAGTTTTCGGATCTACATGACACCTTAATTCCTGTCTTATTAGGAATCTTGTGATCAGGAACAAAAAATTATTCTCAAAACGTCATCAATAATGAATAATACAATATCACTGAGTTCTTTTCAAACTCAAGTACTTGCAGGCAGGCGAACACCTGCAAACTGGTACAATGGGCTGACTGGCAGCAAAGACAGCACTGTTCCAGGTGAATGGACAGAAGATAAAGGTAGTGAAGATAACCAGCTAATGAACAGCAACAGCAGCAACCAGCACTAATCACTATCAACCGGAAAACACTGACAGAGATTATTTCCCCCCTTCACTTAGCTGACCATGAAGCACTGTTTCAACCGCAGGCAGTAGGACAGCATGTATGAAGATGTCAAAGCCAGCCAGCCAGCCGGAATCGGAAAGACACGATGGCACACCTTCATCAACCTGAAACCAATTTGGAAATCTTCTACTTCACTCAGCAGTATAAACAACAACACGATTCGGATTCTGTTCAACACAAATGTCAAGTCAGTCAGTCAATTCTTCTGTCTGGGTGGAAAACTTGCACTGTGCATCACGAGAAGCATTTTCAACAGGTCATGGCATAATTTTATCAACAACTGCCTTCGCTGGCTCCACACTGAAGACAAAATGGCCAGCCAGTCAGAAAGAATTAGCAACAAGAAACTACGGGAACAAATTAATCATGAAACCTACTGTTGAACAAATATGTGCGAGGAAATAGATCGGGCGTACGCTGATAAGACAGTCGAACGATATCGTGCGCTAACCAGGCCATCTCTTGAGCAGAATCTGAATGGGAAACGACGAGTGGGCCGTCCGACATAGTAACATGGAGGCGATTGCGAGAGTTAAAGGAAATGATAGATTATGGGTAGTCGTGGGCCCAGATGAAGAAGACAGAAGAAAATAAAACAAAGTGGAAATGTGTTGCTGAAGCCCTATGTTCC